GCCCCACCCCTTCTGTGAGAAATCCTCTCACTCTTTATCCACCCACCCTTTCATTCATTCATTCAGTAAGTACTGATGGAGTGCTCCTGTATGGTTTGGACATGAAGTGTCCCCCAGATGCTCCTGTGTGCAGGCAGCATGTTTGGAGGTGACATGATTACACTATGAGAGTTGAAACCTAATCAGTCTACCCCACTGAATGGACTGGATGGTGAGTGTAGGCAGGTGGGGCATGGCTGGAGTAGCAGAGTTACTGAGGGCTTGCCCTGGAAGGTGCATCTTCCCTGAAGCCCCTTCGCTCTCTCTCTCTCTCTGCTTCCTAACTGCCACAAGGAAAACAGGGCTGCTCCAAATCCTTCCACAATGATATTCTGCCTCACCTTGGGCCCAGAGCTGTGGAATCAGAGGGCTGACTAAACCTCTGGAACTCTGAGCCAAAAAACCTTTTCCCTCCTCTAAGTTGCTCTTGTTGGTATTTTGGTCGCAGCAACAAAAAGCTAACACAGCTCTGTGTATGCCAGGCCCTGTTGGAGGACCTGGGACTGCCTCTGTGAAAAAGCAAAGACTTCTGTATTCACAGCACTTGGAGTCCAGTGGGGGAAACCTGCCAAGGAACCAAGTAAACAGGGGAAACCAGGTAAGCTCGCAGTGCAGGTGACAGTAGCGAGCCACACCTCTGGAGGAGAGTGAGAAGGGGAGGAGGGTGTGGGGAGGCTGCAGTTTCTAACAGGGTGCTCCATGAAAGAGACCTTGCTCAATGACTGAGCAAGCTGATGGGGTGAGTGTGAGAAGCCAGTGCCTGAGGCTGAGGAAAGAGCAGGTGCAGAGGCTCTGAGACCTTCATCCGCCTGGACAGACCTGGGGCAGAGCAGGGCTGGTGGGATTAGAGAAGCTTCTGGGGGAACAGGGCACAGGAAGGAGCGGGATGTTCTACAGGCAGAGAGAATGGCCTTTAGCCTGAGTGAATGGGGGTCACTGGAGAAGGGACAGGGCTCTGAATGACATTTTAGTCATCCCACTTTGGCTTCTGTGTTGACACCCACAGTAAGGGGAGTGGAGCAGAGCAGAGAGGAAGCTCTCACTTGGTCCAGGTCAGGGACAGTGGCCTAGACACAGGTGCTGAGCAGCCCAGGAGAGTATGCCTGCAGGATTTTCCAGTGGCTTTCAGATGTCAGAGGCTGGCAAGTGCCCTAAGGTTTCAGCCTGAGCTGCTGAGAAGATGAAGTCACCAGAAATGGAAGCGAGGAAGACTGGGGGTACAGAGACCGGAGTTCATTGACAGTCCCTGCAGGGGTGAGATACCAATATCCCAGACACTGGGAGACCACTGTGGGCAGGGGAGAGGCCCCAGCTTAATGATATCAGACCAGCAAGGATGGCATCCTGAAGTGGGGCTCCCTCCTGGCAGTATTCAGTCTGCTTGCTGACCTGGTGAAATGCTCCCCTTTCCAGAAGCTCAGAACTCGGGGCAGGCTGCTGCTTCATGGTCCATGCAGAGAAGAGCAAGAAAGGCATCCACTCCCAGCCTGTACTGTACTTCCCCTTGCCCTTGGCAGCCCCAAGAATGACTTCCAGTGGTCTCTGGTCCCCTGTGTTCACACCACTGGAAGGCTGGACTCAGTGCCCCAACTAACAAGTCAAAAAGACAGCAGGTCTCCCCTGAGGCTAGGTAGAAATGGCTGTGAGTTACTCATGGTGCCCAGTCTCACTGGTTCTTGTCACATACTCCTATGATAGACTCAGCCTAGCGAGGGCTGATGTCAGCCTGTGGCCAGAGTGAACCTGAATCCTACCGACAGCCATGGTGGTGATCTTGGAAACTGTTCCTTCCCTTTTTGAGTTTCCGGGCACCACTTCAGACAGGGACTGACACCTGTAACAGCCTCAGGGAGACCCAGAAGCAAATGACCAAGTGAAGCCTGCCTGAGGGCCTGGCCCACAAAACTACTGTGTGTTGGTTTGAGCCACAGAGCTTGGGGTAATGTGGTAGGCAGAAGTAAAACACACCCACCACCTCCCGCTGGTGTAAGCTACACAAGTTAGGAGAGACGCAAGGTCCCCTCCTGAAGTAGAGGATTCTTTCCTAAGGGCCAAATTTTAAAAACATCCTCCAGTTAAAGAACTATTAAAATACTGTAATGCAAAAAGTAAGAAAAAAATAAGTGATGGCTATTTTTAACTATTAACTCTTGTCATTTATTAATATTTTAATCAACTGAGCGTGGGGCTAGAGCTCCTCATGACCATGGCTGAATGATCAATTGTGTACTTGAGCCACAACTCTTCATAACGTAGACTCAAGCTTCTGAAAAATATACGTAACTTTGAGGAGCAGACAACTCTAAATCACACTGCTTCTTCATTGGGTACTGGGGATTGAACTCAGGGGTACTCTACCACTGAACCACATTCCAGCCCTTTTTATTTTTTCTTTTGAGACAGGTTTTCACTAAATTGCTGAGGCTGGCCTTGAGTATGCAATCCTCCTGCCTGAACTTCACTGGGTTTACAGGCATGCACCACCAGGCCCAGCTATTGTTTTAAATTCACTATTTTTGTTCTAAAACCCATACTTTTTTTTTTTTTAAGTGTGGGGGGAGGACAATATTCAGAACAAGCAAGAGAATGGAACTAAAAATACCTAGGCTTGTGTACACACAGAGGCTCGCACTGCTTCTAAGCCTGCCTCTTCACTTATTTATATATACTGGGTGTATATATCTTCATGTGAATATATCTTTCTAACTAAAACAGTACTTGATTCTTATTCCAGTTTACATTTTTGCCACAATTTAACTCATTATTATGTTTAACCTGAGGTTGTACCTATCATTTTCTATGTTTCAGACAATTTGATAACCAATGACCAGTTCTTTAATTTTATGTAATAAAAATAATTTCATGAGAAGATAAAGGGCAATGGACTAAAAATTCAGTGTGGACCATCTTTTAAAATATTATTTGCTCTAGAAAGGAATGAATGATTGACACTCCTACAGCACAGATCCTAGGCCCTGGGCTACAGAAACCTCTGTGGGTAAGAGTGCTTAAAGCCTGGAACCTCCTGTCTTAACAAGATAAATGGCACTGCCACTGCCAACTTCAAACACCTGTTATTCAATTCACAATAGCTAAGCCATAAAACTAGGTACCCTTCAACAGATGAATGGATAAAGAAAATGTGGTACATATACACAAGGGGATATTAGTCATAAAGAAGAATGAAATTATGACATTTGCCAGTAAATTAATGGAATTGGAGACTATCATGCTAAGTGAAATAAGCCCATCTATTCACTCTATTGGGGAGGGCAGAATAGAGGGAAGGGAGGGGGCATTGGAATGGGAAAGAGTAAAATGGATCAGACAGAACTTTCCTATGTTCATATATGATTACACGACCAATGTAACTCTACATCATGTACAACCACAAACATGGGAATTTATACTCCATGTCCCTATATGTCAAAATACACTCTACTGTTTTGTATAACTAGAAAGAACAAATTTTAAAAAAGGAAAACAAAAAACGGTGATTCTCCTCATTATTAGGATAATAGTGTTTATGCTAATTCATTAGAGCAACAGCTCTCAAATTATGCATTCATCAGAGTAATCTAAGGAGCTTGTTAAAAATGTGTATTCCCTGAGTGCATTCCTACAAATTGGACTTCAGGGATGTGGAGAGGCCAGGTGATTCTGATGATCTTGGGGCTTAGGAACCACTCCACCAATTCTAGCCTAAGCAGAGATTAGACCATGCAGGCACCACCACTGTGATTTATTATTTTTTGATGCTCAGAGAGATGAGTCAAAGCAGGAGGCAAAACCCATGTAAATTCGCATACCACCATCTTTTGTCTAGAGTTGACTTAACGTAAAAAACTAGTTTGCGTTGTTTTTGCAGCCTTTGTTCAGTCTCTTTATTTTCTTTACCGTTCAACATTTATTGTGCAGAAAGAAGGTTCGCGGACTGCCACCACGGTGTGGGGCCTTTTATGAAACTCTTGGGATTACCACTGAAGGAGATGTGTATCTCAAGAGACTGTTTCCTGAGGCAGACATCTCCACCACAGCACTAGGTGAAGCTCCATAAAAATTAACTTACTGCTCATCAATCGCACAAGATTTTGACTACAAACATTTCAGAAGTTGTAGTTTCCAGTAGAGCAGCTATCTGGCAGGCAATGCCTTTCTGGGTTTCCTCAGATAGGAGCAGCTGTCCTACTCTCCAGCCCCTTGGCTTCCTTGTCGCGCCTTCTCCTGCTCCACGCGGATTCTCCAGACCAGGCCTGGAGGCGAGGATGTCTCAGAGGGTGGCGTCCATAAGTCCTCCTAGTCTCTTTCCTTCTGTTTCTGCCAGTCCAGGGCTGGAGGACCCAGATGCGCCAGAGTTCTAAAGACGACCCAAGAAATGACAGCTTTGTCATCACTTAGTCCTCAACGCCCACGTTTTCCCATCAACTTGAAGATCCGCTCACAAGTTCTTCCTCCCTGATCTCAGAAGGAGGTGAAACCTGTGAGGTCTCGGAGAAAAACGTTGGGGCACCCCACTGTTCCAAGGCGCTTCTCCTGGAATAATCCAGTGGGAAGCAGTGCATGCGTCTCTGTGACGACTGGGACCCCAACCACAGGGGCGATCCGGGCTCGCCCGGAACCTCTGAGCCCCACTAGAGCGGTTCCTACCCAACGCGGCGACGTTCGGCTGGCGAAATTCTCGCCCACCTGCTGCGCTCCGCCCACCTGCGGCATCCCCACCCCGGGCCTCTCAGCCTGGGGTCTCCCCACCCCGGGATGCTCCTCGTAAGCCCTCCGCGCCGCGGCTGCACCTCCCCCGACCTACAAAATCCGGGGGCGCTGCAGACCCCCACCTGCCGTGCTCCTCCTACCCCACGCCCAGATGGCAGCGTGCCCGCAAGCCCCGCCCGCGCGCCGGCCCCGCCCACCAACGCCCATTGGCCCTCGGGCGGGCGGAGGCGGTTCCTGCCCGGTGCGGGCTGGGCGGCGGTTCCGAGGCCCGCGAGCGTGGGCCGGGTCCTCACTGCTTGCTGCGCACCCGAGCGAACCGGCGGTCTCCGGCCTCCTCGCCATGGCCAGCAACGTCCCACCGACCCCCAGGGGATCCTTCCCGAGGTACCTGGAGCACCTCTCCGGGTCCGGCAAAGCCATCGGTGTGCTAACCAGCGGCGGGGATGCCCAAGGTGCGCGCCCGCCCGCTTCCCGAACCCGGGAGGGAGAGGAGGGCGGCGGAAGGGGTTACTGGAACGGGGGGGAGGGGGATGGGAAGAACTTGAGAGAAACGTTGCTGGAGGATGGCTGGGGAGAATGGATGGGGAGGGAACCGAGGAGAAGGGATGGGGGCTGGAGTGCCCGGGAAAAGAGATGGGGAAAGTGACAGGGGAGAACCGCGGAGAAGCGATGGTGTAGGGCGGGGAGAAGCCCTGTTACCTAGGGCCATCTGGGGTTTCTGGGGGCGACGGGAGACGGGGATGGGACTTCGTTGCAGGGCGGGGTGCGGAGGACGGAGAATATGGCGGTAGTATTTTTCATCGGGAAGATAATTTAATTTTCCACCTCCAGGTCTGTTTTAGCAATACTGGCAATGGGGTGGAACCACCCTTGGAGGTCGTTCTGTATTTGAGTCATAGAATGGAGCCAGGCATCCCTGCCAGAGCTGGAGTACCGCACGACTCCCCGGATGCCACAGTACCCACCCTTTGGGGATCTTCCCAGCCCCCGAATTGTAGGAAAAACAGCTCCCCCCCCCCCACCGCGCCTCCTGCCGACTCGCGCCCCCCGCGCGGCGCTGGCGTAGTCTCCTCTGCTGCATTGCGGGACGCGGCGGGGGTCGCGCAGGGGGTCCCTCCTCTGTGCTGCCTCGGCTAACCCGCTGCGCCCGACGTTTCCGCCGGGAGATTTTAAAAAAGGTTTCTCTGCTCTGACCTCCTGTCGTCTTCCGGCTTATGACAAAAGTGAAAACAAAAATGGGTCACTAGGCCCTCCCTGCCAGCCTCCCCTGGACGGGAAAGACCAGGAAGCGGGGACTCCGGGACGTCACCAGCACTCGGGGCGCGGACTCCGGGCTGCCCTTTACCCCTACGCGGAGACTGGTTTCAAGGCGGAAGGGACCCAAGCCTGGGACCCTTCGACATGGAGAGTGGTCAGACACTCACAAGGCCTTTCGCCTGGGGTGCACGTGGGGCGCCGGGGTTCCCTGACGGTGGGGTTCCCCGGTCCATGTAAATCCCTAGTGAGAGTAAACCAACCACTATAAAGTGGATCTGCGCGTCTCAGGTGAACACACCCTTGGAGCCTTCAAGATCACGCGGGCTGGACACATGTTCCCTGAGCTGGGTTTTGGTTTTATTTCTCCCTCTTCTCCTAAATGAGTATGAAGGCACTGATGCCTCATTCCTCCCGTTTTGAGGCTACACATCGAGGAGGGATGCTCAGAGGATGAGCCCAGTACCCCCGCCTTCTGCCCACCCTGCGGGTGACCTTCCCTTCGCCCTTGAGCGAGGCGAGGCGAGGCGGGGCCGGCCCGAGCTGGCGTGGGGGCGGCAGGTTGGGGAGTCGTGAGCACCGCCCCGCCCGCTGCGGGAGCCTACGTGATGCCCAGCCCGTCGCCGCCCCTGCGCCTTGGCCGGGACACGAGGGACACAGGGGCAGCATCCCCGGAGCCTAGCGTCAGGTGCGCCAGCAGAGGAATCCCGCGCTGCGGGATGGGGGTTCCCAGTGAGTCAGTCCTGATTGCTTTAAAGTCTGTTAGCACTGCACCAGTCACCACCTGCACCTTGGGGGCCCGCCTTCCTCAGTCCGAGAAAGGATTGCTCTAGTATTGGTATTATAGTAAGGAGAACCCCAGTGTAAACATTACTTATGAAGGGCTGCTTTCCTAGTGAAGGAAAATGTTGTGAGATAGCAAAGGCTGGGGTTGGAAAAACAGGAGACTGAAATAGGAGATAACATCGCCTGAGTTATTTAAATAAACGCCTAAAGATGTGCTTGTGTAGGGCAGCCTGGAGGTCTGTCTTGTGACCTGAGTGGCTTCCCAGTCCAAGGGCTTCAAAAGCATCTGCATTTTTTCCAGAGACCTCGTGCTAGGTCAAGTTAGGAAGACTTTGAATCTTATCCTGGGCTGCTGAAGAAGAAGCCATAGCCACAGGAAGAGGAACTAGTCTCCAAGCCATCAGGGCTGCACATCAAGATTACTTTAGGATGAAGATGCTGTATTGATTGATAAGTGTTTGTCAAAATACTTGCCCCAGTGTTTGCCAAAATACTTGGTGATTGGTGTACAGACCTATGAGATACTGCTGCAATTTGCAGAATCAGTTTTCTGTTGCTTATCCGGAATCTGCCATTTGTGAGAGGTTGTAAATACTTAGTAGCTTATGTAATGCTAACATGTCCATCTCTCCCCTTTCAGCAGAAAAGATACCTAGAAAATGAAAATTGTTTGAGAACTTTGTGCTTGGTTAGTGGGAGATGGCTGCTCTTAGTTTAGCAGGTGGCATGGAAAATGGCCTGGTGCTTTTTCAGCTCTGGGCTCTCACTGGAGAAACCAACCGTAGTCTCCCTTGCTAGAGGATGAAGCCATTATTCATTTTCCTGAGGCTCCATGAAACCACCAAGTCTTGTGTTTTCTTGGACCTGCTTGAGAGTTGCCACGTTGCTTTCTTAGAAAACTGGCCTCAAGATATATGCTCAGAAGCTTTGGCCTTGGCAGTAACAGGTTTACCAGTCCTTAGAAGAGGTTATTCTGGAGATGGTAACTATTATATTCCCATGCTTTCACCATTTTGTCTTGACTATATTAGTACTTGATTTTCCTTGAGAAGATTTTTGCACAATAGCTAGAGAGCAAGGATGAGTATTTGGTCTCATTTTTAGGGTCATTTTCTAATCAGGTATGGAATTACGGTAAAATTTCATGTTGAGATAGTTATAGGAACTATTTTTTTGTGTGTGTATTTTATGTACTAAGAGCTTTACAATTTCTATCTCTGGGTCTAATCCTATAGCCCCAGGATATGTATTTCTTAATTTTGGCATGGGGTTTTTCTCCCCACAGAAAGATGAGTAATTTAGGCAAAGCCATGAGGCTCCAGATAGTTTGGCAAGATTTAAACTAAGCTTTGAAATCTTACCCCCCCCCCCATACTCTCCATTAAACCGTGTTCTTAGGGGGTTTTTCTCAGTGAGGTCTTGTGATCTAGTCATGCTCAAATGTGAGCGGAACCCATCTCTCTAAATTATGCAGAGTAAGCCTTTGGACATCTTTTTCTGGTGGAACAGAAAATGCCTTTTTATAGTAATGACAATCAAGGTGGCTAAAATGATGTACCATCACACTTGATATCAAAGTAACTGAGCACTTTTATTCCCAATGGAGTTTATATAGCATAAAGTAAAACTAAAAGTCCCCCAGCTGTATTCCTGACTTTTTTAGTCCCCACGTTAAGAAAGAGTATTTTAAGGCAATTTTTTTCATCTTCTTAAGTTTTACAGTATATCTGCAATATTAAATTGATTTCACTTTCATCTAAAATTAAGCTCTGCTGTATAGACAGGTTTACCATGACCTAGTACCTACCCTCAGACAATATTGTTTCACACACCAAAAATTATCCATGGTCTTAGACACAGGCTGTAGTGTTTGCAAGGTTTCGTGTATGGTGGGGCTGAGAATGAATGAATGCTCAGGAGTCAAAGTACATTCTTAGGGGAGGTGAAAGATGCTCAGGAGTCAACATGCATCCTTAGGGTGGGTAGAAGGGCTCAGGAGTCAAAGTCCATCCTTTGGTTAAGTAGTGGACAATAAGGAATGTAAAGGCACCTTTTTTGCCTAAGGCAAGGAGAACATTAAAGCCGAATTTATGGACAGTACATATAGTGTAAGTCTTATCACAGAATAGCCAACATTGAGTTAGTGTTATGAAGCATGCTTGCTGCCCCCAGGTTTTACACACACGCACTTGAAAACTTATTCCCGTTTTACACACACGCACTTGAAACCTGAGATGAACTGGCATTCCAGAGTTTGCAGAGCTGAGTATTAGTGCCTGGCCTTATGGCTGCAGTGAAAAGGTGCCAGACTGAGTACACCTGTGTCTGTTCAAGAGACTGTATTTCCAGCACCCAGCACAGGTGGCAAATACTCAGATGTTTGTTGATTGTTCCCCACCTGGAGTCACCCCTGAGGAAGTGGCAGGTGATTAGGGTTCCAGGTCATTTCCTTTGTCATGAGGTCTTCCAAGTGAATGACTCAAAAGTTCTCTTTAATCCTCAGAGCAGGAACATACAGACTTGACCAGAGTGCTAGTTGGTTCTTCAGTGTCTGTCCTCCAATTTGTGCCTTCCGCATTTACAGATACAACCGGCCTCAGATTGAAAAATATTTAAAAAAAATTTTAATATTTACATTGTATTAAATATCATAAGTAATTTGGACATGATTTAAAGTGCATGGGAGGACTGTGTAGATTATATTAAAATTCTGCATTACATAATTTTGTAGAGGGACTTGAAACATTCAAGGTTTTGATGTTTTTGATATCTGAGGGGGTTCTTGGAACCTAACTCTGGAAGATACCAAGAGACAACTGCATTTATTGAGCACCCAATCAGCGTACTGCTTGGGTCCCTTTGGTGCCCAGAGCTTGCCCATGAGCCTAGTAAAATGCACATTGAGAATCCTGGCATTCTGTCTCACACAGCTCTGGGGCCCTTCAGTATCCTGGAATTCTGTGTGCCTATTCTTTAATGGGATCATTTTAGTTTAAAATGTAATGATTAACTTAGCAAAAATTAGTGGGCCTAGGAAGCAGTGCTTGAGAATTGTAGCATAGCCCAATTCTGTAGGAGAGTGGTGGATTTGTGTAAATGCATCCTTTTCTATGAATTCAGGTATTTTTTGTGGGCCATATGCAGATGACCCTAAGGGAAGACATCTTGTTGTCTTTCACAAAAATGCATATTTTCCTCCTTGGTTCCAGTTGCTGAAAGCTTTTGGTAGAGAACTCAGACCTTCTGGCAGGCAGAATTGGGGCTATTTAAATAAGCGCTACCAATCTTAGAGGCTGTCAGAAGCCATTAAAATTAGAAAACCAAGTTAACAGCATGTTAAAGGGCAAACATCAGTTTATAAAACTGTGCATCCACTACCGTTGTGATGATGTTAAAATGCATATATGGATAA